CTCCTGCTCTCCTGCTGGCCCTGCTGCTGCTCCCCAGCTATTCAACAGAACTTCCACGCTGCAGGGTGCTCTTTGTCCTCCTTCGCCCCTGGCACGTACACAGAGGGCTGGCCCACAGCAGCCAGCCTCCCCTCGCTGTGCAGCCGGCTCCTCCCTGTGCCAGGTGCACTGGGGTGCTGCAGAGTAGGGATGCTCATCTGGGAGCCCCGTGCTCTGCAAGGGCTCTTGTCCAGGACAGGGCTCAGCAGTGTCTTGCAGCCAGTAGCCGTGTCCCCTCGGTCCTCCCAGATGGGCGCAGGCAGAGCCAGGACATGTAGCCACAGCAAGACACGGCCAGAGGTTGTGCCCTTGGAACACAGCAGTTCTCTTTCAGATAAGAAACAAAGAAACATCCAATGATGGAAAAGGTTGCCTCTCTGTAAATAGCAAGCCGAGTGACCTAATTCAGCTCAGCACAGCTCCTTGGAGCTTCCTGCAGCAGTACCGCGCTGACGCTGAATCATCACTTCCAGAGCGGCAAAGATTGGAGCGAGCGGGCCCTGAGGGTTTCACTGTTTCTTTATTAATTTTAAATTGATTAAAATGAATTTTTAAAATACCAAGAGAGACTTGCCTAAAGAAATGATTATAGAAAAAAGAGAAATGAAGTTGGTCTGTGGGAGGTTTTTTGTGTGCTTAACACTCTGGGGCTCGTGTGGCTGTGAGCACCTAGTGCAGCATGGAGGAGGTGGGTGTCAGCTGCTCTGTCCTGGCAGATCAGCAAAGACAAGATCAGTCCATCAATACTGCAGAGAAGAGGGAATTCTGCTGGTCTATATTCAGTGCACACCTACCGGTGTTCCCATCCATGGTGTGGTTCTGTGGGTTCCTGCTCTCAGCTATAATGCTTTAATCAGAAGTCAGGATCCAGGGGAGTGCAGCCCTGCTGGAGCCAAGCATACATCCTCTTTTCCTCAGCATCGCACAGCACCTGAAGGCTTTCCATCAGAAAATCCTGGGTTCTCTACAGGGTTTCTGTGCAGCAGAGCAGGCTGGCAGGCCCTTTGCTCAGCCTCCAAGCAAGGCTGTGATGAGTGTAGGCAGCAACAGATGGGCAGAAGATCCTTTTGCCACTGTCAGAGGGCAGTTACAAGTGGTCTTTTCCCCTGGGTCCATCTCATTTGCTGTTCACACCCCATTCCATCATGGAAATCTGCCTAACGCAGTAAAGGAGAGCATTCCTGTTCCTTATAATTTTAATCTGTCCCTGTACAACAAGCAGAATACGATATCCTGTGTGTATCCAAAGCTTTTCTGGAACTCCCACTGCTTCCTGCCTGTGCCCCCTGCGTCCCACTGATGTTTGTGGCAGCAGCAAGGTGTTTGTGTGCCATGGTGCGCTCTGGAGATGGACAGCACAGAAGCAGGTCAGAGCCCTCTCCCCATGGGTTACTGTCCGCAGGGGTGGCCTTGGGAGCTCCATCCCTTGTGATCCCACTGGGGTGCGGGAGGTGGGCAGTGCAGTGGTGCTACATGCAAGGAAGCGGAGCAGGATCTGCCCTAACTATACAGCAGGGATTGCTCTGTTCGGATGAAGACCAGGGCTGGCTCTCTAAACACATCAACAGTGGTGAGCAGATAAACCTTTTTGTTTTAAAATAAATAATAGAAAAGATTAACAAACTACCAAATCCAAGTGTGTGGAAGCTCTGTAGTACTTCAGAGAAGACCTGGCAAGGAGCTGCAAGCAGTGATGGAGAAGGATACAGAGAATGCCTAGAGAGAACGAAACAGCAGGTTTTGTCGGGCCGTCCTATGTCTATCTAGAAAAGAGAGTTTGCTGTTACACTGAAATTAATGAATAAAAATATAATAAGCCCATTTAAAATAATCTGACATTTTTTACTGATGGGAGCAATGGAGCCAGCTGTGTCCTAGAAGTTGCTTGGAAGCATATTTGGTCTGCTTTAAATATCCGTGTAAAAGATACAGTAGCATTACTCGTGTCCTGCTCACCTCTCTGTTTCTGCGCACCTTCAGGCCTCAGAAGCTGAACTGCTCTAAATCCACACTCCAGTGCAGAACTTATTTTTCCCAACTCTTTGTCCCGCACTCAACCCTCAGTCTCACCTGCAGCGCAAGGCAGGCATTGCTGTGGAAAAGTCTGCTGATGAGAGATGTGTGGCTTCTGTTCTCCTGACTGGGATGGCTGGGCAGTGCGTCACCGCCCCTCACGGTGCTAAACTTCACCTGTGAGGCCGATGAAAGATGGCTGAGGTCTGTGTGGAGTACGGATTGCAGTTTAATCCTTGAACACATTATGGGTACTTCAGAATATGTTTTCTTGTGTGTGTGTGTCCAAAGTGCTTTTCAAACTAATATATGATACTTACGAATTCTTCCCTGTGTTTAGGCAGACTCAGATTTAGTGTTTGAGCTAAATCAGGATGTTACCAGGTAGGATAAGAGGAATACAGGATTACATTGTGTTCTTGCTTCATTCATTGTCAGTTGCACTTTCAGCTGTAATTATTTATGACAAATCATTATGTGCTGGTTAATTTACAGCAGCATATTTCTGTACAGTAATGAAATCGGTGGCATGAGACCACAGCCCTGCTGTTACTCTTTCCTGAGTAATGCACACATTAGTTATGTGCAGATGAGAATGGCATTGGAACATGTGTAGACTCATCTGGAAGGTTATGGTGTCTGAGAGTCGTTTGCTCCTCGTGTAGTTAAAAATAGTCATCTAGGATCCTATAGACGCACGTGAACCCAGTGTGAGTCTTTATGAAAGGAAAGCTCTGGCAACATGGAGATCTTTTAGTTTCTGTAGGCCCTGGCCTTAACCAGTAGACATTAAAGAGCATGTTTCAGTGCTTTAAAGCATATATTCTTCTGAAAATTATCTTATTTCTTTCTAGTTTGAAAGATGCTTAGCAAGACTGCCTTCTGTGCACTGTATGTGTTGCTGCTGTTAATGTAAAAGTGCAGGTGTAAAGGTCCAAGAAATGTTGGTACTCTGAGCCTGAAATACAACTTTGACAAAACAAAATGCTGCCAGATTCTCACAGCAAACAGACATGAAAATAAAGAAAATATTTTTTTCACATTTCTAAAGTTTTATCACTCTGCAGTGCTATTTGTAGTAGTAGTAGACATAACATTTGCAGAAAGAAACACGACAGATCTATTCAGCTGGCAGTACTGAGCTCCTCTGCACTGATACTGCATCTTGCCAACAATCCCCATCCTGTGCTGAGAACTGTATCTCATTACCTAAGAAGAAAACTGTCTGTCTTATGTATTTCCATTTTTTCATGAGCTAGTGATAAGATGTGCCTAGCAATGCCAGGAATTAAAGTAACCACACGTCCATTCTTGTTTGGTGAAAATGCTGCCCCACATTCTGAGAGCAAAAACTTTTAACTCTCTGTATTGTGACAAGTTCTGCTACATCGAGCTGGTAGCTGTTAAAGTAGAACAAAACAAAGAAAACACCCATAAGAAAACATTCTTCTTTACAAGTGCCTTATTTTACTCCCTGTTTTGCTTTTTTTAGCTTCAGGCTAATGATACTGCTTCTGAAACAAGAATGATTCATCCCCCACTGGCTATACAAGCCTGCTTCCTAGGGTCTGGTTTTTCAGCCTATTCACCCTCTTTCTTACATTGTTTTGCTATGAGAAACGTATGATCAGTGCTTGCCTGCAGTCCTTGCAAGGTCTGGATAAAGCAGTGACTGACAGGATGAATAGGACCTATGGTCTTCTGCATTAAGTATATCTGAATAGTTGAGATTGAGTAACTGAGCTGATGTTTGCTCTCCTTGAGGCTTTTCTGGAGGCGGTGGTACTTGCCCTGCTGGCTGCCTGCCACTTGGTGCTGTTGGGTGCTGTTGGGTGTAGGTGGGCCGCATGGCCATGTGGAGCAGAAGCTCATCGACTGCTTGTTATCAGCCTCTGTCAGTCTGTGAGGCACCAGCCTTGTGTCACAGAAAAGGACACTACCATGCAGGAGTACACAGAGGAGCAGTTTGGCAGAATACAGCCTCATTCTGAGAGGCTGAGGTGCAACACTGTGCAAGGAAATCACACCTGGCCTGTGTTTGTGAAATCACCTGTGCACAGGAACCTGGTCACTGTGGCTCTTTGGAGCACAGTGCCATGCTGCCTTTTGCTCTGCAGTGCAGAGCTCATTGCCTCTGTGCTGGTACAAGGGACCTAGTGAGACAGCCAGCACTGGCAGTGTGAGTGGAATGTTAATTTACCGTAGCGTGGCCCTGTCTGTCCTCTTAGCAGGAGAAAACATTGCAGTAGTTCTATATGCAAATCGTTGTACACAAATTTAAGCAGGACTTTGTCAGCCCATGCTGGGAGATGCAGAACCCTTTAGTGGCAGTTGTTTTCACCTTTCTTTTTGGAGGGTATATATATACAAACACACTGCAGAAAGGCTGAAAAACACTGAAAGATTTGCTCAGGAGAGGACATTCTTCCCTTTTACTCCACTGATCATCTAGGCACTAATTGAGAAAGAAAGCTGGGCAATCAGGAAGGCGGGGAAACCCCACCAAGAGCAACGCCTGCCCACAGATCACTAGCGAATGCTGCACACACCTGACGTCAGCTAATGCAAAGCTGAATGTATAATGGCCAATGGGAAATGCTGAGATGGGGAGTGCTGTTCCTGGCTCTCAGCAGTGTATCCAGGAGGGAATCTCTCTTGATGGTCTCTTGCCCATTATACTCTTCTAATTTACACGTTTTTCATCCAGCATCCAAAATGTCGTGTAGATTTTAAAATACATAATTTTTTATTTTTTTTTTTAGTAGCTCTTTATTATTAAAGTCACCAGAAATGCTGTGTTTCTGTCTCTGAGCACAAGGAGAAGTGATAAAAGATACAGAAAAGCTTACCAGGGTCATTTTGAGCTAAATGACTTACTGCTGTGTCTGTGTTTGATTAGAAAACAGCTTTTGTCTGTGAGCAGTTGCACCACTGCACTCCAGGTCGTTTCCAGAGTGCTTCCCTCCCTGCAGCGTTACCCCTGGAGCTGAGTTGTTCTTCTCTGTTGAGAGTGGGCAGAAGCTGACACAGCAGAGAACGGCTGTAGAGTTCTCCCTGGATAGAGAGTAGGAGGAGCCGGATGGAGGCGGCTGGGGAGGCTCTGGGTGGGAGTTGTTGCTGCCGGTGGGAGTGAGGCGGTGAGCTGCGTTGTGTGGGATCGCTGGGACAGTTGCTTCCTTGCTGTGTCCGTTTCTCTCCGCGTTGCCCTGTGCCTGCGGCTCGTACCCGTGTGCCCGCGGCACTGGGGCTGCTGGTCTGTCACAAGGAGCAAAGCCACAGCGACGGCTGCCCCGTACAGCCCTGCTCCAGGGCTGGCCTTCCTCCAGCACTGACAGTGTGAAGCTTTAGAGAACTCTTTGTAGGTTTGATTATTTCATGGGCTTCTAAAATTGCTGGATCTCTGGCATTTCCTTAACAGACGTTAACAACAAGATTACTTTAAGTCAAGTTAAAATACATTTGTTACTTATCCTGCAGTTTTAATCCTGTCATACCTCTAATTTTAACGCAGGCTGAGTCATTTTCATCCTACGGCTTTAAAATCAGCCTTCTTGGGCTATGGAGCACGGTCATGTTCTTGCATGTCTGGGAAGCAGAACAATTTCTTTCTGTCTCTTAGTCAGATCTGTCCTGCTGAACTGCTGTCACTTTGTGCTCTTGGATATAAAAATAACGCATGGCCAGGGTGATTTGCAGAGTTAGTGTTATTGCGGTAAGTAAGATTTGAAAAATGAGGGATGTTAGCTTACACTGTGCAGACTGATTTATAACAAATCAAATTATAAAATGAGAAGTGAAAAGATTAGTGTCAGTGAAGTATTTAACCTTTTTTTTGGCTCGATTCCTTGGGGAGCAGTTTGCATAACTACTGTACTGCATGTGATACACTATTTACTTTCTCTGTTTTGTTTATCTCTACTGTCTCCTTTTCTACTGACTTGTTGAGCCCCGCCATGAGGTTGCAGTTGTTACTGTGTTTGTGTATGAATTATTAATGAATTAGTACCCATTTCCCTTTTTTTTTTTTCTTTCTTAAATAGCTGCTATACTTTTGCAGAAGCTTTCCAAACATTTCATTTTGAGACAGACTCCTCACATGGAAAATACGGGTGGAGCAGTTGCAGTTGCAGTTTATCACTGTCAAACTGCTGGAGACCATCATAGTGAGAAGCTTTAACAATAGGTAGAGTTGTTCTAAATGCTGTGATTGTAAGCACATACAGAGGGAGACAGTGGAGAATACATGGGGAATCTGCAGTATGTGCATAAAGTGTATAAAATAGTGCAGTTCTACTTCCTTGCTTCAGGATTAACGTAGCTAAATGAGAAATATACTGAAGATAGAACAAATCCACAGCTGCACAGCTAAACAACCTTGATCTGCTGGTATATAAAACCGGATTGTGAATCTGGGCTGATGTTATTTTGTATTCACAGGGTTCTCACAAACACAAAATGCAAAGCAGTGAATGATTCTTATTTTTGCTTTGAATTCACTTGAACCCATATCTCAGAGACAGCCTGGGTTGTGACTGCAAAGAATACACTCATCTCACCAAACTACACAGAACTGCTTCATCACTCTGTATACATGCAGACACAAGTGCTGGTTGTCCACCTCCAAGCGCAGCAGATGCTCCTCCTGCTTTGCTGGTGGTGTTGTGCTGGGAGGCAGTGAAACATGGCCCTGGGTGCAGCTGTGTGTCTGCAGTGACCCTTTGAGGCTGGCACAAGCTAAGCATGCATTTTGGCCCTGTATCGTGAAGTAAAACACAATGAGAATTTCCTTTAGTTGTGTTATCACACAAGCACTGAGGCTGACTTTCAAGTGCACGTTGGTTTGCACAGCTATGCAACTTTGAATTCATTAAGCTGATCTTGGTGAGGTTCTGGGGCAGTCTTTGCACATAAAGACAGGCTCCTAATTGTTAGTGGAAATTAGTGGAAAGAACCTATTTTCTTTTAAATGCAAAAAGATAACTTGGTTTTAGTTAGCTTCACCTGTGTGTTTTCAGTCTCTGGGTAGTTTCAAACCCTTTTTCCTGGTCTGCTAGATGAAGGTAAAGCATCTGTTAGGGTCTGATTCTGTGACAAAGGGGTGAAGGGAATCACGCCCCTGGGAGGAAAAAATTATAAAACCATGACAGTGTCTTGCAGTGGCAGAGAAATCCAATCTGTTATTTGCTAACAAGCTGGTTTGGTTGGAAAAAATGCTGGTAATATTATCTATAAATTTGTGTATTCCATACTTATGATAGCATAAAAGCAGCTGCCACGACAAAGACAATGGTAACAGACTTTTTGTTGCTTCCTACAGAAAGTTATACCAGGAGGAAAGTTGTAGTGTAGAGGGAAATCATTTCCTCTCTTTGCAGCTTCTTATGCACTATCTGTTGCCCAGAACCTTGGTATAAATAGAAAACATTCTTCAGGTATTCGCAAGGAGGAGCCTTATCTTGTGCCTGTGACACATCAGCTCTAGCTGCTTCTTTCTTTTAGGCTGGTTAGCTTTTACTGCACTGCCTTGCTGCTGCTGGGAAGCTCCCACTGTGCTACACTGACCCAGAGGGAGCTGCAGCTCCATTAGGACTGTGAGCCCTCCAATGTGCCCATTCACCCATCTTAGTCTCTTTCTTGCAAGTTAGGTTGTGCTTAAAACTTCCCCTGACTTTCCGCAAGCTTTCAGTTGGCTGTTTGCCCTAATGTTCAACCTGCAAGCAAGACTGAGTGACAATCTTCAGTGGCTATTTGTGTTACTGCAGGATCTCTAGCTAGAGGCTGGACTTGTACCAGACGCTGGGTAAATGAAAAGCAGGAGGTAGGAGACAAATGCAGGCAGGTGTGGGAGATGATGTTTGTGCACCATCTGCTTGCTTGCTGACTGAGAACTAGGCTGAGATGATCTGTTTCCCCCTGCGATAATCATCATCTGGACTTTGTCGTTTCTAAGCAGGCGTCAGGACTGTGTCTCATTCCCAGCCCCCTAAAAACTGCCTCCTACAAAAGCTAGCTTTCTATTTGTAGTCACAGGTATATTTGGTGCTTTTTAAAAACCTTTCACAAATGGATCTCCAACCAACTAGACAGACACAAGCTCGCATGCTAAATTAATTTCTTCCCCTAGCAACTGCTGCCCTACTGTACCCTGCACTGTGCACAGAGCTATCCAGGCCTCTTACAGAACAAGAGGTGACAGCCCACGTGGCAGTGCTGACTAATGTCGTTTGTCAGATGCCTTCTGAAGAACAAGGTGAGGCTGAATGTTTGTGAGATACGAGAAGACGCTAGTCTGAATTTCTCAATTGTTTGACAGCAACAAAAAAAAAAGTGCTTTCAGAAACACCAATTCACGTATTGAATATCCATTTATTAACATAAATGTAGACTAAAATAAATGAACTTTTAGGAAAACATTCAAGTGAGCAGTGGTGGATCCTGTGAATGGTGTGTCAGTGCTGGGTTTCAGGTAGGCTGTTCCTTTGCAGATTTGACTTTCTGATAATTAAACTATTCTCAATTTTGTTCTTTTTTTTCCTTTTTTTTCTGCTACTGTATTCCAGAGTTTGAAGGAGTTCATAATTTGCAATATTGTGAAAATGCAAAAATCAGCTGGAGTGAAGCTCGTGTTTAACAAGGCAACAATCTTCTCAGGCTGTACTGGGGATATTTTTAGGATATTTGATTTCTGCTTAAATGTGCAGTATGTACATTTATACCAGCAAGTTAAATTCATCAGAGTCTTGACATCAGATTTCTTTTTTTTCCCTGTCTCCTCCATTGAGCTTTCTTAGCAATTACAAAGCCTTCCTACAGAATAAAATCTTTTTTCATGGGATCGCAGAAAAAATGTTGGCATTTTCTCCTGTCTGGGACTGGTGTACTTTGTGTGTGCCACGAGACACAGTGAAGCTAGTTTGCTGGCAGGAATAAACTTGGAGGCTTTCTTCTCCCTAGTAACCCAATTTAATGGAGACTTCCTTCCTGTCGTTCTCAGGAGCGCTGTCATGGTTTGTGGTCTGGTGATGATAAGACACAATGATTACACCCTCTGGCTTCTGAAGCTCTCCATCTGTCTTGAAGGAATGTGCCTTCCTTCTTTGAGAACCTCTGTCCAAAGGCCCTTCTTCCTGCCTGCTGCGTCCTCCTTGCTGCAGTGGTCACTTCACCTGAGCAAGGACTCACTGAAGGCACAAATGCTGGAGCCACCTATTTTCTGCTTGGAAAGCGCTGATCCAAGCAGTAGAATATTCAGATGCTCTGAAACAAAATTGATAACACCTAGGCCATTCCTAATGACTGTTTGCATGTTTTCCTCTTTAAGTTTGCGGCTAAGATTCCAAGGGCTATTCCAGCACTTAAATCCTCCTGCCTGTGGAGCATAAATATGTGCCATTCTTTCCCTAAAGCTAACCTGTCACTGCTTTATCTGTCTTGATAAGTACACGTAGAGATCTGTCTGCTTCAAAGGGATCCATTATGCCTACCTCCAGCTTTCTCTTTCTTGACTAAACAAATCATGTTCTTCTCATTACTCACAATTAAAGGATAGTTGAGGTTGGAAGGGACCTCTGCAGGTCACCTAGTTGATTCTTCAAAGCAGGGCAATTAGAGCAGCTTGTGCAGGACACTGTTGGTCACTGTTGAATATCTCCTGAGCATGGAGGCTACATGGCGTCCCTGGGAAACCTGTCCTGGTGTTTGACCAGACCCACAGCAATAAGGTTTTCCTCCTATACTTCAACAGATTTACTGGTGTTTCTGTATGTGCCCATGGCATGTTGCCCTGTCACTGGACACCACTGAGAAGAGCTCTGTTCTCTTTGTTCCACTCCATCAGTATTTGTACATTGATAAAATACCAAATATTGTTGGATCTTGAGTTCATAGCAGTAAAAACTGCTCTTTTGTTCCACAGTAAGAGTAACATACTCAACTGCTGTTCTCTGGGACATTTTCCTTTTAGTGGAATGCCCTGCAAGTCATTTCAGTCTCTGTATCAAGTTCTACATAAAAAGCTTTATCATCTGATGCCTGTGAAATGAGATGTCAAGAACTGTTGCTGAAGAATGAGAAATAGGGTTTTCTCTCTTCTTGGTGCAAACAGGTTGGTCATTTCAATCTCTGTTCATGAATCTGA